TATGTATGTATGTATGTATGTATATATGTATGTATATGTACATATATATACACACACATATATATATATATGTATGTATGTATATGTATATATATATATGTATATATGTGTGTATATATATATATATATATATATACCGTATACTTTACCCACCCCTCCCATTTTATTCTTATGATACTTAGAATACGGTTAAAAACGTCTTGTACAATTCTGCATTGAGAATTTTCACTAAGACGACTTAAAATATAAGTTTTGAATATTTTTTAAAAAAAGGTCATACAATATTTTTCTCTCTACCCTTTTTTTCTATATCATAGGCAAATTAATGTGATATATCGTGTTGTCTTTCATTGGGATTTTCCATTTTGCTTACAATCTCGCTCTGATCATTGGTAGATACAGTATGCGAAGAGATCCAACATCGTCATAAATATCGTGTACGATAAGCACGAAATGTCTGTAATTTTATAAATTATGCGCTCATGCTGTTGATTTTCATTTTTCACATACTAATTTGTCACTGAGCTTACCGGAATTTTGTGATTGTAAATTGTCATAAAATATAAAATGCATCATCGTCATGTATACATTGAGACCATTCGTGAAAGTTCGAAGAATCCATTCGTACTCGGAATCTATCGATTTCTTCTCGTCCATTTTATCGGCTTTCTTGACTTTACATCCGGTGTAGAGAAACTCGATGATCAATGGTCATAGTTTAACATTTTGAATAGCAACAACAAATTAATGTTGAATCTGCCATTTTCTTCAACGGACAAGAAATGGCTCCAAAATTCAGGGTAAAACGATAGAAGCTCGCTTGTTTCTTCGAACTTAAATGACTCAACAGCAATTTCAGGATGTTAAAGATGCAGACTTAACTATACGGAAAAGCGTATTGGAAGCCATAAATTTCGAAGCACTTCGTCCGCCAAATAGAAACGAATGTTCTTGCACTTTGTCGTGTAGCTCATGTTTCGTTCGCGAAGTAATAGACGCCGGTTATGAGTATCAATCACACTCGCACAAATCGAGTAATATGCTAAGACGATCGCCTGTCATTGGATTCGGCATTCCCGACACTCGTTCACGTGTGGTATTAATAATTAACATGTAAAAAATATGACAAAGACAAAATGTCGCAAAATGTTTTCAAATTACTACGACGTGAACTGCGATCGCTAACGTTTGATATCACAATACAGAGACACGCGGTGACTAGCGATTGTATTTTCTAATGATGTTTTAATATTTTGATTTTTTTATAAAGATTGTCTCGAATATTTATTTCTCAATGTACCTTGGATCGCGCGGTTTCCAGTAAATAAATTGATCGTCGTGTGACAGAGAGCGTTAATATATCTACTTCGAATATCTCAATCGCGGCAAATATCTGACTAATCATGACGGCGCGACAGTTTGTATTCATAAATCTGCTCCAAACTTTTCACGATTTTAACTCGTCGAAGGTGAGTTTCGCATGGAAATATTTCATAAGTTTCGGGTCTGTTAAGGCAAAATATCATCGAATAGTCAGTGTGGAAGTGAACACCTTGCGGGACAAGACTTCGGGATTGCTGAACCAACTTTCGTGCGTTCGTATGTTGTGGCAGTAGGAAGTACTGTTGTATTTTTAAGAGTCTCGTGTGCGAATTCTCATTGGGAACGCCGAAAACAAGTTACATGCGTTTGTCACGACAAGATGTCGTCGAGATGCAACCAGGGATGAAAGTCGCGAAACAAGACGTTCAAAGTAAAGTACTGAGTGAAGTATCCCGCATATGATACTTCAAGAATCGCAATCGTTGCATCATGGCGATAGTTCTGAAACGGACTACAGCGAAACGCTACAGCGCGGTAGGTTGTACTCGAGAAATTCCGTATTTCTCGTGGTTTCGTCTTGTCGAAAGTGATTTTCGCGTCGGCAGTGTCGTGAGCGAACTTCGGACGATAGTTATAGCAAAACATTATCGAGTAGCCGGAACGGAAGTGGACATCTTGCAAGATGAACTGCACTTCGGGATAGCTGTATCAACCTTCGTGCGTTCATATGTTGTGGCAGTAAGAAGCCTCGAGATTGTTATTTACACTTTTGAGAATTTCGCGAATTTCATGCGAATTATCGTTACCAGGAGTGCCGAAAACAAGTTACGTGCCTTTGGCCCATATTCTCCTCATTTTTATTGAAAAGTGAAAAATAAAATTATTTGAGAATATTAATCTTTGTCATGACGAAGTTGTCGAGGTACAACCAGGGATGACCATTGTAAAACAGGACGTCCGAAGTACCGAGTGAAGTATCTCGCATATTGGTACTTCGAGAATCGCGATTGTTACACCGTGACGACAGTTCCGGAACGGATCGCGACGCGATAGTTTGCACTCGAAAAGTTATTCCGTATTTTGCGCGATTTTAACACGCCGAAGCAGAAAATTTCGCGCGCGGATTCGGGAGTGTGTGAGCCTCGTGTGTTTGGAGTGATAGTCGTGGAAAAGTCGCGAGTTGGATTGCCGAGATGAAGGTTCGTGCGTTTCGCCTGAGTGCGGTTATGGCCGTTATGGAGTTCAAACTGCTTCATCTTGACGGAGAAACGCCAAAGGACAAATTGGTAAGTATCGATAGAATATACACAGCGACGGAAAACACTGCGATTATTGCGTGTCGAGTCGTAATGGCCTACTCGCGATATTAACGACCGATTTAAAACAAATATAAGGGAAAAAACTGTCGAAACACGGGGACAAATGAATACAATACACAGAGTGTGAGAAGCATCGTCGTGCTCTGCACACTTGAGATAAATATCAAAATCTCCTATTCTTCATATCTTGTTTTCCTGATAACTGTCATCGGTCGATATTTATACTTATAGATCGGATTTTGAACTCTCCTTTATTCGATAAAAGCGCCTCTGAAAGTGGTTTAGGAACCACCTGATTGTTTGAGAAGCTACATTTAAGACACTTATCGATAAAAGAGAGTTCAGAATATAGATCATGGAATCTCAGACCGGCATTCATAATTGGATCTTACAAATAAAACCGTCTTAAGTTCATCTTCAGATGCTTTACGGCTCATCTCATTCGCTACGAAGCATCTAAAGATGAACTCAAGACGGTCTTAAATATAAGACCCGACCATGAGTACCGGCCTCTCGATCTTTCATCTTCAAGTGAAGTTAGTCTCAGGCATTCCGCTTTATCGGCCGCGCGTCCCGGAGGGAAGTTAACTTTTCCCGCGTACAGGCGTCGCAACGGTCGCGTGACGTAACACGACTCAGCAGCGGGATGAAATGTGGGAGGGAGGCAGTGTGGGGGAGGCGGGCAGGCGGCGGCTGCTGTGTGACCTTGCAGTGTTTGTAAACAGACACACGTTGCCGTCGCGAACTGTTACGGACGACCGCCATCGCGGGAGGAAGAAGCCACCCTGTGTTATTGTTTACGAGCTGGTCGTGGTGCATTCTACGTGAAGGAGCGTCGTGCGTCGTGACAGAGCATGGAGATGCCAATGTGCATCGTGGAGAACGAGACGGTGAGTTCGCACATTTTTTTCCAATCGAGCGAGCGAACGGAGCGCTGACAATGTGCTCGTGGCGCTTGACGCAAACCTGCCCGTGGAAAATGACTAGTGTTACGATCGGCGGGGTTACATCATGTTGTGCAAAGAAGACGCACGTGGTCTTCGCTCTCGATTTCGCGTGCGGACGTTCGCACCCAACGACCCCCGCGAATTGCTTTGTCCTGAACAGTCCGAGATCGAGCAGTCGTGAGCGCTCGTTTTGACAAGGTCGGGGTGCGAGGGGGGGTCGGGCGGACGAGGGGTGGTCGTTTAGCTGGCTTGATGTTTTGTTCGTACGGTCGAGCTGGCGCCTGTCGTGTCGGTTGGAATTCCAAGCGGCAGGTGGCGGTCCCCGTCAACGGTCTTCCATTCGCCCTGCACGATGGCGTTGTCTCGCTCGCGTTCAGTCGCACGTTGATCAGCTGACAGCGCGCCGCCGCGATTTAAATCCATCGTTCGGATCTCACTTCTTCCATTGTCCGGTCGTCCTATATTCCGGGTCTCGCACGCCTCTTTCGAACCGTAACGTCGACTTAAGGTAAGATTACGCGACGTATCGGTTTTTTTTTACCAAACGCTTCTTCCGAATTCACGGTTCCGGGAAAACGAGTGCGTAGCTATACGCGATACCGGAGGAGATTCACGCGAGAATTGATATCGGGCGGTTTTTGCAGTCGAAACGTAGCGCTCAGGCACTTGTTCCAGATGATACGTAAGGGTATTAATTCTTATACAAATCGAACTCTAATCCGAGTCGGCTAGGCACGATTTAAATGACCGCATGCTTTCGTGAGCCATCGCGCGGTGGCGTCCGTATCGGCCCCGCGTTCTCATCGCGGCCGATCGCAGTGGTGCGGGCGCGTGCCACGCGCGTCACGTCCCTGAAGAGAGTCTCTTAGCCCGTGAACTGCGCAGTTGACAGAGCCCGCACGACGCGTAGCACCGGTAAGTTTCCTCATGTACATTTCCGCGCGACTCGCCACGTATCCTGACAGCGTCGCGACGTCTCCGCTGACCACGCTCTCTCGTTCGTCGCGTGTGCACGTTCCGTGTTGGACGCGATGGACACCTCGTACGCACATGTGCGTATTGTACGCTCCTCGCGACTCGGAGCCCTTATGCACCGTCCGTGTGTCGTCGCGACGTGAGCGTGCGCTCTCTCGTTCTCTCGTCGCGACGCTCGATGAGAAACCGGGACGTGTGCTCGTTGTGCTGCCAGTGACCGTCGTAACTCACTCGCGTCGCGACACTTGCGACGCCGCCACGCCGGCGAGAAATCCGGTCGATTTCGGAGCCCGCCGCGCCACGGGCTTCCGCGTCGCCCACACGCGACGCTACTGCGCAATTCAGCGGTACGCATATATCGGTGCATCGCGTCTCGCGTCGTGCCACGCCGAAACTGTCCTCGTTCGCGATTTTTTTCAGCCAGCTGTTCCTACGCGCGAAAAATTATACGAAACGCGCTCGTGCGCAGCATCGAATAATTGCAGACTATTTTTGGAATAGATCGCTCTTCGCGATACCGTTATATAAAGTTCACGATACCGTTATGTAAAGTTAAGTGCGCGATATAATCATATTTGGGCCGATTTACTTCCGGACACGTCTTATTATTTTATCGATTAAGCTCGCGCTTGATTAATTTCCACGGCGTTACCGAGCAATGATCAGAGACGTGCTCAGTGTTCACTCTGAAAAACTGGAGACGGGATATAATGTCTATATTTTTGCGAAACAACAAATGTCCTTGATTCTTGCATGTTGTATGGATTAGCTTACGCTTTCAAATGATCTCTCTTCAAAGTTACCATTGATCTAGTTTATATAACTAATCAGGTTTTTTTCAAATATGTTAACATTCATATTCATGTACGCGTTGGTTCAGCGCAAAAATATCTGCACTTAATGTGATAATGTGGTCTGTGGTCTTATCTGCGTATTGCAGCATCGATTAATTCGTACCTACTCGACTCGTTGCCTTCATACTTATTCGATACCATCCGTTTGACTTTTGTATTTATTACGATCGTAACTTTCACGCCATGATTTAATGTGACTATTTTTTTAATATTTTCGCTTTTTGGTAGATTTTGGATTTAGTTTGGGACATTTTTGTACCACGGCGCTAAAGTTATCGGAATCTGTGGAATTGTATTCCTGATATTAGAAATTAAGAAAAAAAGATAGACAATTTTATCTAAACTTTTCTAAAAAAAAAAAATCTATAAATTCGTAATCGAAAGGACGTGCTTCAGTTTTGAAACAATTGTATGAAATTACATTACAAGAAAATATGGTGACGCGGTCGGTCGAAAGGTAATTGAGGGTCTTTAAGGTGAAGGCGTCGAAGTAACGATGTCGTTTAATGAATCTACGATATTTTCTTCGAACCACGTCTTTAGAAACAAGCTTCGTGTTCGAGCGGGAAGTCGTACGATCGTACGTGATCGCCGTTGTCCTTCGTACGCTTCTTCAGGCATCGCCGACGACGCGTATGCTACGAAACGCTCCGATGCCCGCGGTAAAAACATTTAATCAGAATCGCGAGAGAGAAAGATAGAGAGAAAGAGGAAAGAGATAACGAACGAGGGAACCTTCGCAATTCTCTCTACGAAGAAGGGAAAAAGATAACAATGTATGATGCAATTTTATTTTACGCGGAACTCTGCGGTTGCGTGTCGTATCGCACGGTCTCGCTGCGACGCGTGTACGCAATCGTCAATCCACTTGAAATTGATGGAAGAATATAATTTTATAATTGATTTCGTAGAGCCCTTATTTTCTTTGAAATTCCTCTCGGAAGTTTCTTAAACGATAATTATTTATTCAAATGTATTACACAACTCGACAGTTTGTAGGGAAGAGATACCCCGTATGCGTTTGAAATTTCTCCAATAGGAAATGTTTCCGAGAATTCGTACTCGTTCGACTATCTAGCAACGTCATCTCTCTTTTGCTAAATTTCAAGGGAACTTTAACGTTCCTCATCCCCATCGTAGTTCCGGCGATTGTCGGTATTGTAAGCGTTATCGTTCTCGTTATCATTACCATCACTGGTGGTACAGCTTCAAGGTGCTCTGCTGCTGCTACACCGACGTGCATTGCTCCGGTAGTAACGTAACGAGCATCCTCGCGTCCTCATCGCGCCGTCACCGTTCCGTCCCCGTATCTCTAGCGAGCCAGGTTATCACGAGAAACGCGCCAGATGTTGCCAGTATTGTGCAAAAAGAGCCTCTCGGCAGATGCAATATCTTTAGCGCAATATGTGACGATGTTGCCGGACAAGTTCGGCTCTTATAAACAATCCTCTCGTTTGAAGCCCACGTTGTCGCATCTCGAATTTGCCGATGAAATCTACGCTTCATTTTTATTTAAAAAGTTCGAGCAGCAGCAACACGCAAATCCGTACGAGGCGAAGTCGCATGAATCCCTCGGCTTATATTTATTTCCTATGCTTTTTACCGAGGACTTCCGCGTTTCCTTTAAGCATAAAAGAACGGGCGTATTAAAGGAACGAATGTTAAAGTAGCGAATATAAGTATATTAAGTTCTTCTCAGGCATTTGTGCGTGTGTATGCGCAGCACTTTCGCATGAAATCTCTTGGTTGGTTCTATCGAATTATTTTATTTTACACAGTCCTCTTTGTTGTATTCGCGCATCGTTCGATGGAAAAAAGGTCGAAACTCGCAAAGGCGCGCGCCGTTCGTTGCAATCCAACGTGTGCGCACATTGCCGGTTCATTGTCTTTCGTGTTGCGGCGTTGCGCTGAATCATTCTTATTTTCGTTTATGCGCGTATTGCGCCGGCGATTGTAGTATCTACTATCGACGTCGGCGGGACACGATGGGAGAAAATTTATATCCGCCTCCGAGATATTCCGAGATATTCCTCTCTGTCGTCGGAATCTCCGTCTTCTTTCGCGCGCACATGCGTGCGCTCTTTATGTCGTTTGACTTTCATAAATTATTGCCGGCGACGCGGACGAATGCGATCGCATAAATCCAATCGCGTTCTCTTTGTTCCCTTATCAGGCCGCGTATGCGAGAGCGGGAAAATGTTGCGTTCAATTTTGCGCACTTTATTCGCTCCGCGATATACGCACAAGCTCGTGTACAATTTTATTTAATATCGCCAATAGGAACAAAATTGCGGACGAGGTAACAAATACACAGTTATGGGTTTAACGTTAAACTCGAGAGCGATACAATTCGCCATGCTATTCATGGAATATCGCGATAGCTTGAATTTTATTAGCCTTATGCGTCGTATAATTTCGAAACTTATAAATTCGTCCTGAAAATTTCCCCCTTTATTTTTTCGTTCCAATTTTTTCTACTCTAGTTACAGAATATTATGGAAATGCCAGAGAATGCGCTTTTTATTCTAATTTTATACCGAGATAAGAACATATTTTTGGCGCGTGATACGCGAAACGCGCAGCGGGGGCGACGGAATTTACGCGATTTTGGCGCTCACGCAATGATTTCGCTCGCACTAGCCATTGTGCTCACGGAACATCCCCGTCCATTGTTGTACATAACGTCGCTGGAGCGGCGCGGCTGGAAAATTACGAGGGACCTTTCTCCGCCTCTTTCCGTGCCTCCTGCTCTCTTCCGGTTACGCTAGTCGGGACGAACAATGACCTGGAAAAGCTCAAGAAAGCTTTAAGCCGCGACTATACGCCCGGAGACCAACGCTCTCGCAGCTTTGTCGTCGCAAGTCGTCGTGACGTCGATTCTAAATGGTAGCAGAGAGAAAAAGCGCGGTATGAAGGAAAATGCCGTGAAATTGTCGCGCGGAAAACGCGATATGATATAATTCTTTTACAACATGAAACCGAAATGAAGTTAATCGCCACTCTCTCTCTTTCTCTCTCGAAAGCGTTTTTAATTTATAACTATCATTACTGACACACGACCATCTGCAGGATCCGGAAGCACAAACATTTCACTTTAAAAGAACATAACCGGGT